CCAAGTTTTGTGTTAATTCACCAATTTGCCTATAACTTATTGCTGTACTCTGTTAAGGGAAATAGAATAATTTCTCACAATGCCTCGTATTGATTTTATTATACAGAGATTAGAAAGTAATAAATATAAAGATACAGGGTAAAAAAGGAAGCTGGATATATATGCACTGTAGAACAGGCGGCAGGTAAAGATTAGTTACTATAGACCACTGGAAAGACCACATGGTTGGAAGGACCATTTAAGGTCTGCAACATTTTAAACGGTGATTAAAATGTTTGAGAAACTTTGCCAAACAAGACAAACTACCCTTCCGTAATCTGCACAGGAATGTTATTTTATGAATGCTTCAGATGCGCACGCACACATGCACACACGCTCACATATATCTAGGTCACAATTTTTTTAGGAACAAACAGAGTAAGAGAAAGGCATTGATTAGTCCAGTAAATTATTTATCTTCATTTTCTGAGGAAGCTTTGCCATTTTCTGCTCTTACTGAACCCTAAGACAACAATTTGCTCAGCCTTGACCTATCCCATACCCCTGTGCTGTGTTAAACAGCTGACTTGCTGAGGTTGAATTGGACAAAACATCTCTAGCTTCAGCATCAGAAATAAAAAAAAAAAAAAAAAAAAAAAAAAAAAAAAAAGCAAAAATAAAGCCTGAAGAGCTCCTGGGCTGTGTTTTACGTGCCAGATCACCATAGCGGGGACTATGGACTGAAACTCTGAAGCAAATTTTAAAAGACCTCCCAGTTGTTCTAGTGTTTAGAGGTTTGCTTTGGGGGTAGATTTGTTCTTTGGGAAGCAGGTTTAGTTCAGGGTGAGACTCCTGAGACTGTTTGTGCCCATTTCTGCTCAAGGACTATTGAACCAACATGACCAATTGTACTAAGAGCAACAAAAAAAGCAACAACCCCCACCTCCACCATGTGTCCCTGAGTCCTCTTCAGCAGCAGCTCTAATGCTCACCTGCTGTATTTTCGTGGTTGTTTTGGATTGCCCTAGCCCTTAGGAGCCCAGGTGGTGGATCGGGAAGTCATTGTATGGAGCTATGTACGGAGCAAAAAATAAAAACCTTCACTCACAAATCCACACAGGCGAAATACGTGCTTTGGTGACTGGCTGCAACGATGGGAATGTTCTGACACTTGGGGAACTTCTGCCTGATGTGCAAAGGGGACAAGTGCACTGAGCACATCCACTTTTCCTTACAGAACTGATAAAACTTATGTTATACTGCTGCTTCATGCAGGACCATCCCACCTTGCCTAAACCGCTGGCCTAGCTCACAAGAGCTAGGTGAACATCTCTGTATGTCTTTGCTGCAGGAGTGTGCTGTGTGCAGGGTACGCCAGTTCTCCAAAATCCTCCGGTTGTTACACACCTGTCCCTGTTGCTTCCCCACACATGCAGCTGGCAGCGGTGCCAGTGCACAGTGAGGGTGCCTGTCCCAGCACGATGTCTGGGGCTGGGCTCACTGTTAGCATCAGCACAATACGTTCCTTGCTGATCTAAGGAGATGATAGACAAATGCAAATTGGAATAATGCCTTTCTGCCTATCTCTTAATGGCACTTTCCTTTTCTGGGGAGTTTCCCTCCCACCCAAAGAGGATATGCCCTAAGCCTTGAATTTACCTCTCATGAATATATGCTGCCTTATATTCACGCGTATAGGTTGTGTGCTCTGGCCCACTGGCTTGTGTCTGGCGCTGTGTGCGCTCTAGGGCTAGCCGCCTGCTTTGTTCCACTTGAGGCTGCAAAAGGCTTGGGGCAGCTGCTCCCACTGCCCCT